AATTAATTTATTAGTATATATATTATAAGATATGTGTTTGTATCGTTTCTGATTATGAGGTATAGAGTGTATATGTGTAGATGTTCTGTATGAGTTAGTATATAGATGATAGATGTGATCTACTCATATGTATCGTGCTGTGTAGGACACGCATACAGGTGAGTTCATATGATATTGTACGTAATGTGGGATAGGCGTAGTCGGATTAGGCAGATGGGGTCCGCGTGTGAGGGGTGCTATTGTTAACTGACTCTTGTAGGACGTCAGGAGAAGATATATAGAAGATATGGAGATATAGGAGAGTATTGGTGATATGATGATATGTAGTTTAGAGACATTATGATAGATAGAGATGATGGGGTTAAAAAGGAAAACAGAAAGGGGGAAAATATTTTTTCCCCCCTCCTCTCTCCTTTCTTGTCCCCCCCTTAATGGCGATTGGGCGCCCTCATTGCATGCCCCACCTCAATATACAAGTCCACAAAAAATTAGTACCAACTTTCCCAAAATGAAATAAAAGAGTTTTTTTAGTTTGATTAAGCTCTTAAACATACGAAGAAAAGCGTATTTGCGTGGCTTGTCCGCAAAGATATATACGGATGCAGCTGTATTGAGCCTGCCAGTGAATGGCCTTTCTCACGGCCTTCTCCTGACCCGGAAGCCTCTTACACAACTTCAGGCTTGGAAGGTGCGGTCTTTTCTCTCTGCTACCTGCTCAAGACCCTCTCGTAGGCCTATATATGGCAATGGTCTAGCGATTGCTGATGGGCTAATTTGTGTTATGTGGTATATGGTATTTTGTGTAGGGTAAGATATTGGTTGGCTGCGATGTGTGCAGTGGTTCCTCGATGATGTGTATTTAGTTTTTGTTTGATGGGTTGGATGGGTTGTGACGTTGTGGTTTGGGGGATTGATTTTAGGAGTGGTGGTTTTTTTTTGTTTTAATGATGGTATTAGTATTCACTGTACCATCGCTTGCCGAGAAACGTTTCAGTCCTGTTTTACTAGTCTCTTTTTTTTCTAATGGTCTTGATTAGTTCATTGTAAGAATAGCAGGAGCACACTATCACCACTGTAATCCACCACCACTCATCGTCAATCATTACTACTATCAGTATTCTCAACACCACCACCGTCATTTCATCAAGATCATCACCACCGCCACCACCATTATCTTATTGCACCATCACATCAGCAGCAGCATCGTCACCACCACTACCACCTTCACCCTCATCTTCTCCCTCACCACCATACACCACCACCCTTACCCTCATCTCTCTCCTCACCACCACCACCATTCTCACCCTTACTACCACTCTCACTCTCACGCTCACCACCACTCTCACCCTCACCACCACTCTCACCCTCACCATCACCATCACTCTCACCCTCACCCTCACCCCACTCTCACGCTCACCCTCACCACTCACCTCACCACCACCACTCCACCACCCTCACCCCTCTCACCTCACACCCACTCTCACCCTCAGCCTCACTCGACCCTCTCATCTCACCCTCACCACCGACTCTCTCACCCTCACCCCACCCCTCACCTCACCACCACTCTCACCCCACCTCCACCTCACCCTCACCTTCTACCACCACTCTCACCCTCACCACACCACACTGCATCCTCACCCTCACCACACCACGTCTCACCTCACCCTCACCACCACTCTCACCCTCACCCTCACCACACTCTCACCTCACCACCAACCCTCACCACCACTCTCACCTCACCCTCAACCACATTCACCCTCACCCTCACCACCATTTTCACCCTCACCACCACCATCACCTTCACCACAACTCTCACCCTCACTACCACATTCACCCTCACCACCACTCTCACCCTCTCACACTCACCACCACCCTCACCCTCAATCACAACATTCTCAGCCTCACCCTCATCTCACGCCTTCACCACACCTCACCCTCACCACCTCACCATCACCATCACCTTCACCACCCTACCCTCACCACACCTCACCTCACCACCAACTCTCACCCTCACCTTTCACCACTCTCACCACCACCACACCCTCATCCACACCCTCACCTTCACCACCACTCTCACCACCACTCACCTTCACCCTCACCCTCACGCAGTTCCCCCTTAACGCGCAACCCCAATGCTCCAGGGCCAAGTGACGCTGAACCAAGGAGGCCAAGGGACGCCAGGGTACTGCCCCGAATCCTGCGCCGCCTTCTTCAACTACGTCGTGTTGCTGATCCTGACGCAGAGTGTGTATCCGAGCGCCAGAGTAAACAATGTGATGGTTATGTTAAGGTTAGTTCGACGGGCGGCCGTTAACCGATTCGATGGACAGGTTGTTCGCAGTCCGTTGTGATTTTTGTTATTGTTTGTTTAGACTGTGTTGTGTTGAATGGGTTTCTGATATTGAGTGTGGAAGATAGCAGTTTAGTTGAAATAAATAGAGTCAAAGGAAAAGAAATTCACTGTGCCTCACCTTTCTCGCCATTAGCTCTCAAAAGTACACAATACACCATATTCTATATACAATTCATCACTATATTGACCCGCAAACCGCTCACCGAACGAAACACTTACCGAAGGTCTCACGGAAACAGGTCAGTGCCCGACGAAGACCAGGTCATGGCCCTGAGCATCCTGACAGTCTTCGTCAGCGCGTTGGCCTTCGCTCCGGCCCCAGCCATCGTGTCCGCCATTGTGGGTAGGTTGGGAGCGGCGTCCTGCGAGCGGCCGTGAATGCGTTGCCTTGGGATTTTTTGTTCTTTCTTTCTTTCTTGCTTTTTTCTTTCTCTTTCTTCTTTCTTGCGTGCTTGCTATTTCCATCTTCCTTTTCTTTCTTTCTCTTTTCTTTCTCTTTCTTCTTTCTTGCTTGCTTGTTTCTACTTCCTTTTTCTTCTTTTCTTTCTTTCTTGCTTGCTTTGCTTGCTGCTTTTATTTCTATCTTCCTTTTCTTTCTTTCTCTTTCTTCTTTCTCTTTCTTCTTTCTTGCTTGCTTTGTTTCTATCTTCCTTTTCTTTCTTTCTCTTTCTTCTTGCTTGCTTGCTTGCTTGCTTGCTTTATTTCTATCTTCCTTTTCTCTTCTTTCTTTCTTCTCTTGCTTGCTTGCTTGCTTGCTTGCTTTATTTCTATCTTCCTTTTCTTTCTTTCTTTCTCCCTTCCTTCCTTTCTTTTCTTTTTTTTTTGGGGGGGGGGTGGAAAAGAGGAGTTTGAGTGGATGGTTGGGATATGGCATTTTGTAAGTTATTAGAGATTACTATTAGCTCATAACTACATGCACTTG